CGTTCAGCTTCAGCTTCTTCAGCGTTACTGGTTGGGGCATAGGCTTGGATTACCATGATATTGAATGGTTTGCCTTGGAAACGAACAGAGATCATTCTGTCGTTTTTGAGACTGCATCCAAGTACTGCTTTTTGAACTCTTTTATCGACTATGATGACTACTCCATTTCTTCTAAGGGATTCTTGCCCACAGTAGTAGATATACTGGTCATCTGAGTTAAATTCGCCCATTCCAGTCCATTTTAGTTTGCTGATTCCTAAAATGTTGACGTTCACTCTTGCCATCTCCTGTTTGACTACTTGCAATTTGCCTTGATTCATGGACCTAACATTCCAGATTCCTATGCAATATTGCCCTGAACGGCATTGCACTTTCCTTCCATCACCAGTCACATCCACAACTGGGTGGTGTTTTTGCCTTGGCTCCACCTCTTCATTCTTTCTGGAGTTATTTCTCCACTGATCTCCAGTAGCATACTGGGCACCTACTGACCTGGGGAGTTCATCTTCAGTGTCCTATCTTTTTGCCTTTTCAAACTGTTCATGGGGTTCTCAAGGCAAGAATACTGAAGTGGTTTGCCATTCCCTTCCCCAGTGGACCACATTCTGTCAGACCTCTCCACCATGACCCAACTGTCTTGGGTGGCCCCACACGGCATGGCTTAGTTTTATTGAGTTAGACACGACTGTGGTCCTGTGATCAGATTGGCCAGTTTTCTGTGATTATGGTTTTAGTGTGCCTGCCCTCTGATGCCCTCTTGCAACACCTACCCTCTTACTTGGGTTTCTCTTACCTTGGACATGGGTATCTCTTTGCGGCTGCTCCAGCAAAGCGCAGCCGCTGCTCCTTACCTTGGGTGAGGGGTATCTTCTCACGGCTGCCCCTTCTGACCGTGAACGTGGAGTAGCTCCTCTCGGCCCTCCTGCGGCCGCTCAGCAGCCGCTCCTTGGAGGTGGGGTAGCTCCTCTCTGGAGGGGCCCCTGACTTCTGGGGTGGGGTAGTTTCTCTCAGCCGCCGCCCCTGACCTCGGGTGTGGGGAAGCTCCTCTCGCCCACTGCTCCTGCGCTGTCGCAGCCTGGCGCTCTTGGTCACTACCCCTGACCTTGGGTGAGGGGTAGCTCTTCACAGCCATGCTTCTGCACGGTTGGTTGCGGCTGGCGCGCTTCTGAGATCAAATTGACAATATCCGCTGGATCATCAAAAAAGCAAGAGAGTTTCAGAAAAACGTCTATTTCTGCTTTATTGACTACGCCAAAGCCTTGGACTGCGTGGATCACAATAAACTGTGGAAAATTCTGAAGGAGATGGGAATACCAGACCACCTGACCTGCCTCTTGAGAAACCTGTATGCAGGTCAGGAAGCAACAGTTAGAACTGGACGTGGAACAACTGACTGGTTCCAAATAGGAAAAGGAGTATGTCAAGGCTGTATATTGTCACCCTGCTTATTTAACTTCTATGCAGAGTACATCATGAGAAACGCTGGGCTGGAGGAAGCACAAGCTGAAATCAAGATTGCTGGGAGAAATATCAATAACCTCAGATACGCACATGACACCACCCTTATGGCAGAAAGTGAAGAGGAACTAAAAAGCTTCTTGATGAAAGTGAAAGAGGAGAGTGAAAAAGTTGGCTTAAAGCTTAACATTCAGAAAACTAAGATCATGGCATCTGGTCCCATCACCTCATGGGAAATAGATGGGGAGACAGTGGAAACAGTGTCAGACTTTATTCTTTTGGGCTCCAAAATCACTGCAGATGGTGATTGCAGCCATGAAATGAAAAGACGCTTACTCCTTGGAAGGAAAGTTATGGCCAACCTAGATAGCATATTAAAAAGCAGAGACATTACTTTGTCAACAAAGGTCCATCAGGTCAAGGCTATGGTTTTTCCAGTGGTCATGTATGGATGTCAGAGTTGGACTGTGAAGAAAGCTGAGCACCAAAAAATTGATGCTTTTGAACTGTGCTGTTGGACAAGACTCTTGAGAGTCCCTTGGACTACAAGGAGATCCAACCAGTCCATCCTGAAGGCGATCAGTCCGGGATGTTCATTGGAAGGACTGATGCTGAAGCTGAAACTCCAATACTTTGGCTACCTCACGCAAAGAGTTGACTCGCTGGAAACGACCCTGATGCTGGGAGGGATTGAGGGCAGGAGGAGAAGGGGACGACAGAGGATGAGATGGCTGGATGGCATCACCGACTTGATGGGCGTGAGTTTGAGTAAACTCCGGGAGTTTGTGATGGACAGGGAGGCCTGGCATGCTGCGATTCATGGGGTCTCAGAGAGTTGGACATGACTGAGCGACTGAACTGAACTGAATTACATTTGGGTACTCATCCAGCTGTTTTCATAAGATTGGGCAAGGAATAAGCAGATTTGGCCACCTGATCAAAGAGCCAACTCATTGGAAAAGATCCTGATGCTGGGAAAGATTGAAGGCAAAAGAAGAAGAGGGTGGAAGAGGATGAGATGGTTAGATAGCATCACCGACTCAGTGGACACGAATCTGAGCAAACTCTGGGAGATATGAAGGACAGATTAGCCTGATGTGCTGCCGTCCATGGGGTTGCAAAGAGTCAGACATGACTTAGCCACTGAACAAAAACAACTTTCCGGAAAGCTTAGTATAGATTCGTGTGTGTGTGCACGCATGCACATGTGAACATATATGCACACATGGAAATTAGCAACGTGATTTTTTTGTGTTGCATGCATGTTTGCTTAGTTACTCAGCTGTGTCTGACTCTTTGTGACACCATGGAATGTAGCATGCCAGGCTCCTCTGTCCATGGGATCATCCAGACAAGAATACTGGAGTGAGTTGCCATTTCCTTCTTCAGAGGATCTTCCTGACCCAAGGACAAACCCTTTCCTCCTGTGTCTTCTGCATTTGCAGGCAAATTCTTTATCACTGAGCCACCTGGAAAAGCCCCTTAATGTACGAGGGGAAAGTATATCATGTGTTTCGGTGTGGTACCTACTGGTAATGTGTGTTGGTATATTCTAGCTTTATTAGTCACTGAAGTTTAAACATATAAGAAGGTAATGAACTTGCAAATATCATCTTGGAGCAGAGAAATCCTCCTGGTTTGGGAAAATATAAGAGGGCAATTATACATATGTTTGCAAAGAAGCTAGAATTGGAGATGAGGTAATGTGGTGATGAATGAGAATGGGATTTTCTAAAATTAGTTAAATCCTAGAAAGTAAGTACTTCTAGTGAATATTTCAGTTCCCAAGAGGAAAGTTTTATTTCTGTGAGGATTTAACTCTAATTTTTGGGTAGGGAGTCTGTGAGAATATTTACCTTACTGTCAAGTTAACTGGAATACAAAAGAAAAAAAAACAAACTTAGTTTGGAAATCTTTCTTTCACTAGTAGTAGAACTAAAAGGTAGCTTTGGATTTTTCCAATATAGTTTAAGCTTTTGGCTAATTAAAATTAAAGCCTTATAATGCATTTTGGTGATACTAATAGAAAATATGAGATACGTTTATTGTATGCTTCTGTCTCTTAAAAGTTAATTTGGATCAAAGAGCAGAATCAAAATTAGGGTTAGTCATGCCAGTTTTATGATCTAGTTTATTAATTCCATGGCAAATGTAAAATGTATACTCGTAACAGGATAATGTTGAGGCAGCTGCTACCAACAGTTCACTCTGCATTTTCAATGGTTGAATTCTTTTGCACATTATACCTGGTTGAATCCTTGTGCACATTAAACCTAAGAATAAGAAGTAAAGCATCCTTGAAAGACTTTTGTTGTTGTTTCATTGCTAAGTCATGTCTGACTTTTTTTGTGACCCTGTGAACTGTAGCCTGCCAGATTCTTCTGTTCATGGGGTTTCCCACAAGAATACTGGAATGGGTTGCCATTTCCTTCTCCAGAGTATCTTCCCAACCCCAGGGATTGAACTCATGTCTCCTATGTTGCAGGCATATTCTTCATAGACAAAGCAGGAAACCAAAGCAATCTTATTTTTAGTTTAAAAGTCTTCTTATGTAATATGTAGACATCACATTAATTTATCAGAAATGATGTATTTCAAGCAAGACTCAGTAATTTAATGGTTGGTTTGTGTAGGCTAAAGATTGTCTTTTGTAGTAAAGAAAGGTAATTAATAATCACCCATGACTAAGGGAGATAGGAAAAAATATATATAATAGTCTTGAGAAAGGTAAATGAAGTTAAAAGTAGCAGAATTATTTTGATTAAACTTTTTGTTTTTATTTACAGTAAGAATACCATTGTCATTTTTTTACTTCTAGATGAAGCAAACTTTCAGTTACTTTCATAATCCTGAATTGGTGCATTTGGGGATAACAGAGGTGATTGAGTTTCCTGTCCTTAGAACAGTGCGTAATACGTAGATGATCAATATTTATGTGTTAACTGATTTCTCCTCTGAATCTGCTGCCCGAGTGCAGTCTCCTTGTGTCAAGTAGAACACCCTTTGTAACATTATTCACAGACATAATTACATGTTCAAGCTCATCTTTGTTAGGACTGTGACTCTCACTAGTCACTTACCAAGATCCAAATGGCTTTTCCCCTGGTTTCAGAGTATGGATTTTGTACCAGAATCCACCCTTGAAAGTTACCTCAGTAGCTTTAGAAAATGTTGGTGATATGTGAATCTAGGACTACCTATAGTGGAAGAATCAATACTTCTAATTAGGTTACTACTTGAAGATGTGACCTTAATGGTCACAGAAACTGCATGGAAGTAAAGAAAATTTAAGGTATGATTCAACTTTATTTTTGAATTTTGTTTTATGAACAATTGAAAATCTGAAAATTGAATTTTGTTATAGAAATGATAAGGAATAAGTGATAAAAATATATAACACTGAAAAAGTTCACTGATCATTAAGTGTATGTCTCTCTACAGGGATAATATGACCTCTTGAGATTCTGTCTTAGCAAGAAGAAAGTGGAACATACTCTTGGAAAGAAAACTAAGACATTAAGAAAGCCAGAACTTATTTTTACATGGTTGTCCACTCAGTTACCAATATGGATGGTTTTCCCACCATTTTTCCTCCTGGTGGAGACAGTGAATTGAGACATTCTCAAACTGAGTTCCAAAAAATGTTAACTGATGAACGATTACGATGTGAACATCATAAAAATAATTATCAGACTCTGAAAACTGAACACAGAAGGTAATTATTTAAATTTGGAGGTGAGAGGCTTGATTAAAAATTTTTATTTTGTCTGAATATTTGCTCTGGAACATACAGTATAATTTTGTTATAATGTACAATATACATTTAAAACTTTTTGAATACAATAAATGTTCTTTAAATCAAGTGGATTATAAATTTATTAAAGTCATTTTGAAAGTGGGATATAAAATTTATGTATATAGGTGGCTAAATTTGTTTTCCTTCAAAGTAAAGTTGTATCCAGAAATTACAGTGTTAATAGTTAAGTGACAGTTGGTAAAGCAATGATATTTGGAAGTTTAAATAGAATATATGATGTTGATCTTGTTCCGTAGTGTTGGTTGACTTTAAGGTAATACAATTAAAAACAATGGATACACTTAAATTCTTCTTTTTCTAAAACTCAGGTTGCAAAATGAGTATGTAAAGTCACAAAATGAACTCAAGCGCCTATTAAATGAAAAGCAAACTCACCAGGAAAAGTTTCAGCTGCTGCTTGAAGAGGTACGAGGAGAATTAGTAGCGAAAACTAAAGACTTAGAAGAGATGAAGCTGCAGGTAAGAGAAAATATATTCAAATTAGTATAAATTAGTCAGATGTTTAATGGAGATACATATGTCATTGTGGTAAATTTGGTAAGTTCTCTCTGTATCCATAATGAGTATTTTGTTGTATCTCCAGTGGTATAATTTAATCTTCTTTCATATACTTGAGAATGTTAGCTGCTCTGTAGAATTCAGCCACAAAACTTCTATGTAAATTTTTATTATACTTTCTGTTCTGATTTAAATACTATCTTACTCTTAAGAATAATTGGAGGAAAGGCCTGTCTGAATTGATAAAAATTCACAGTTAAACATACTTTAAAAATAAGGATTTTCTAAATTTCTGCGGAGTTTCTCAAGTAACAGTTCATACTAAAGTACTAACTACAGTTTCTTTTGATTTTTTTTTTACACTATTCATTTTCTATTTGCTCAAAAAGTAGAGCAAAGCTACCTGTCAGATTTTAAATTGGTAGGTATTAGTTGTGATATTTTACTGTAATCGCTCAGTAGCACTAGTGGTTGATTTCTGCTTATCTCATGCTTGTTACTTACACCAAAAAGATGTCCGTTCCATCTTAGGGGACAGGAATGCAAAAGTAGGAAGTCAAGAGATACCTGGAGTAACAGGTAAGTTTGGCCTTGGAGTACAGCATGAAGCAGGGCAAAGGCTAGCAAGAGCTTTGCCAAGAGAATGCACTGGTCATAGCAAACACCCTCTTCCAACAACACAAGAGACAACTCTACACATGGGCATCACCAAATGGTTAACACCAAAATCAGATTGATTATATTCTTTGTAGCCAAAGATGGAGAAGCTCTATACAGTCAGCAAAAACAAGACCGGGAGCTGACTGTGGCTCAGATCATGAACTCCTTATTGCCAAATTCAGATTTAAAGTGAAGAAAGTAGGGAAAACCGCTAGACTATTCAGGTATGACCTAAATCAAATCCCTTAGGATTATGCAAGTGGGAGTGACAAGCAGATTCAAGGGGTTAGATCTGACAGAGTGCCTGAAGAACTATGGATGGAGGTTTGTGACATTGTACAGCAATTGTAAAGACGTTGTAAAACAAAGGAGAAAAGGAAAGATATACCCATTTGAATGCAGAGTTCCAAAGAATAGCAAGGAGAGGTAAGAAAGCCTTCCTCAGTGATCAGTGCAAAGAAATAGAGGAAAATGAAAGAATGGGAAAGACTAGAGATTTCTTCAAGAAAATTAGAGATACCAAGGAAACATTTCATGCAAAGGTGGGCTCAATAAAGGACAAAAATGGTAAGTACTTAACAGAAGCAGAAGATATTAAGAAGAGGTGGCAAGAATACACAGAAGAACTGTACAAAAAAGATCTTTACCACCCAGATAATCATGATGCTGTGATCACTCACCTAGAGCCAGACATCCTGGAATGTGAAGTCAAGTGGGCCTTAGGAAGCATCACTATGAGCAAAGCTAGAGAAGGTGATGGAATTCCAGTTGAGCTATTTCAAATCCTAAAAGATGATGCTGTGAAAGCGCTACAATCAATATGCCAGCAAATTTGGAAAACTCCGCAGTGGCCACAGGACTGGAAAAGGTCAGTTTTCATTCCAATCCCAAAGAAAGGCAATCCCAAAGAATGCTCAAACTACTGCAGAGATGCACTTATGTCACACACTAGTTAAGTAATGCTCAAAATTTTCCAAGCCAGGCTTCAACAGTACATGAACCGTGAACTTCCAGATGTTCAAGCAGGATTTAGAAAAGGCAGAGGAACCAGAGATCAAATTGCCAACATCCGCTGGATCATCGAAAAAGCAAGAGAATTCTAGAAAAACATCTATTTCTACTTTATTGACTAAGCGAAAGCCTTTGACTATATGGATCACAATAAACTGTGGAAAATTCTTCAAGAGAGGAGAATACCAGACACCTGACCTGCCTCTTGCAAAATCTGTATGCAGGTCAGGAAGCAACAGTTAGAACAAGACATGGAACAACAGACTGGTTCCATAGGAAAAGGAGTACGTCAAGGCTGTATGTTGTCACCCTGCTTATTTAACTTATATGCAGAGTACATTATAAGAAATGCTGGGCTGGAAGAAGCAGAAGCTGGAATCAAGACTGCTGGGAGAAATATCAATAACCTTAGTATGCAGATGACCCTTATGGCAGAAAGTGAAGAAGAGTTAAAGAGCCTCTTGATGAAAGTGAAAGAGGAGAGTGAAAAAGTTGGCTTAAACCGCAACATTCCGAAAACAAAGATCATGGTATCCGGTCCCATCACTTCATGGAAAATAGATGGGGAAACAGTGGCAGACTTTGTTATTTTGGGCTCCAAAATCACTGCAGATGGTGACTGCAGCCATGAAATTGAAAAACATTTGTTCCTTGGAAGAAAAGTTATGAGCAACATAGACAGCAGATTAAATAGCAGAGACATTACTTTGTCAACAAAGATCCGTCTAGTCAAGGCTATGGTTTTTCCAGTGGTCATGTATGGATGTGAGAGTTGGACCATAAAGCTGAGCACCGAAGAATTGATGCTTTTGAACTGTGTTGTTGGAGAAGACTCTTGAGAGTCCCTTAGACTGCAAGGAGATCCAACCAGTCCATCCTAAAGGAAATCAGACCTGAATATTCATTGGAAGGACTGATGCTGAAGCTGAAACTCCAATACTTTGGCCACCTGATGCAACGAACTGACTTACTGGAAAAATCCCTGATGCTGGGAAAGATTGAAGATGGGAGGAGAAGAGGACTACAGAGAATGAGATGATTGGATGCCATCACCAACTCAATGGACATGAGTTTGAGTAAACTCTGGGAGTTGGTGTAGGACAGGGAGTTCTGGCGTGCTACGGTGCATGGGGTCACAAAGAGTCGTACACATCTGAGGAACTGAACTGAAGATGACAGGTAAATGATACTGATGGAAAAATAAGTCTCCACAAAGGAAAAAACAACACTGAAATTGGTCTTTTGAGGTCTCTAACTATGGTAAAGACTACTTCATAAGCAAGTTATTAACAACAAACAGACACATTTAAAAAAAACAAGTATCTTCCTCCCTTCTCCCTCTTTCTCAAAGCCGACATACTCCAGACACAGAATTAGAGGGTTAAACTGATGCCAAATTAGGAGGAAATTATGCTGTGTCTTAGATTTTTAATGGAATTACTGCCACTACTTGTCTCAAAACAAACCTAAAAGAATGCTTCATCATATAACCATCTGTGTTTCATTACCTACATTAAATCTATAAAAACAAATCTTCAACACTCCAACATTTGTTCTATTAAATATTATAATACTATACAGACAAGTTTTTTCAAAGAATGCTTTGATTTAATGGGGCAAATATCGCTCTACCAGAGATTCTTAAGAAATTAATGAGAAACTGAGTAATAAATTTTGCTCTGAGCTTCCTAGCAGCCAAATAATACAGGAAATATATGGGTTACACAGTTTGCATTACCAGGCACAAAGAAAGGATGTATATGTTTGGTAATTATCAAAAATACATAAGATGACTCCCATTTTTTTAGGAAAGGTTTTGTTAACATGTTACATAATAACAATGTAATAGCTAACTTGTTCTAACCACTTATGACATCAAAGCATTGTATGAACAATGTCTATGCATTGACTCACTGTACCTTTAAAATTATCCTATGAACTAGGCACTCTTTTCATCCCCAATCACTACAACTACACAAGTGATGTAGAATATTCTTTAAATGAATGTCTTTTATATTGTTTTTCTATGAAAGTCAAAGAGATAATAAATCTTAAATCAGAAAAGGCATTTTGCAAATCGACAATATAATAACGTGTATTTTTAAAATAATCATCTTTCATAAAACCTTGACTGAAGTATTTCTTGCTGATTTTACTTTGTTGAATTTACTTACCTTTACTCAACTCACAGTTTGTACAAATTGCAAATACCCATTAAGCAAATAACTGAATTGCTTCAATATGTGTATTTATGTATAGATGTTTCTTCCAGTTATTTTTGCCAGGTAAATATCACACAGAAACCAGATATGTTTATATTGAAAAACAGAAACTTTACCAGATAAATTTTATTTATCAGCAAACATTTGGGAAGTTATCACATGGAGAAATACCTAGAGTCTTTTTGTGTAGGTCCAAGGAACACAGGTGGCACTAGTGGTAAAGAACCTGCCTGCCAATGCAGGAGACATTGAGATGCATGTTCAGTTCCTGGTTTGGGAAGATCCAGTGAAGGAGGGCATGGCAACCAACTCCAGTATTCCTGCCTGGAGAATCCCCTGGTCAGCAGAGGCTGGTGGGTTACAGTTCATAGAGTCGCAAAGAGGTGGACAGGAAGGAAACGACTTAGCACACAAATACACAGGCAAGGAACACTACAAGAAACAATAGGAAGGCTATAGGGAGGATGATTTCATTTCAATATGAAAGAAAATGCTTCACATACTCCAATCCATAAATGGAAGTGGATCACTTTACAAGGTTCTCTAGGTTCTCTAACACTGAGAACAGTGAAGCACAGAATGAAGAGCCCTGTGTCATAGACGTTTGAAATAGGAATTCTGCTTTGAAATTTACTGCCTCACAGTTCTGGAGGCCAGAAATCCAAAATCAAGTTGTCAGCTAGGCCATGTTTCCTCTGAAAACTGTAGGAAGAATACTTCCTTGCCTTGTCCTAGCTTCTGTTGATATGCTGACAATCCTTGGCGTTTCCTGGCAGCTTGCAGGACTTCAACTGCTACTTCTGTCATCATAGGACATTCTCTCTACCCCACCCTACTCCTCACCCACGTATTTCTGTCTACCCTCTTACAAGGATGTCAGTCATATTTTATTAACGGCCCATCATACTTTAGTATTACCTTTTCATCTGCAAAACTCTTTATTTCCAAATAAGGTCACATTCTGAGGTACTGGGAATTAAAACGTATCTTTTGAGAGGACACAACTCAACTCACAGCAGATATGAAAGAGAACTAGACTATCAACTCTAAAATACTAAGGCTCTATCT